CCAGGTAACAAATAGTAAACGAATTTGACCCTTACCCATTCATGACCCTTATCATTAATTTCCATTAATACATATGTGTTTATTCAATGCCATTATTTGTTACATATTATCGTATGTTCAGCCCCTCAACAAGCGCTTTCGAACTGTTCAGTTTACCTGAACAGGGGTTTGGGCGTAGCCAATTTGTCCACCCTACTCCCACCCGTTTTAGGGTAGTTTCCCTAATTTTATTATTTCATTCTCTCGGGGAGTCGTCGAGAAGTATCGAGAGGGTAAAGACGTGCCGACCCGAGAGACCGGCAATTTATAATTTTGTGCGATTAAATAAACCGTGTAACTAAAAGGTGATTTTATTTCGCGCAAAACATTTTGGTCCTTCGAGCCGGATTTCTCGCGGAATTAGTGGTACTGTTCTCTCCTGTATCGTCGATAAAGCTTCACGTCCAAGACAATCTTGAGCACCGTGACATTCGACGACAACAGAATCCCCAGAACTTCTGCAACAGCTTCACGTCCAAGGCAATCTTGAGCATCGTGACATCCGACGACGACATCCACAGATCGAACACGACTTCGGCAACAGCTTCACGTCCAAGGCAATCTTGAGCATCGTGACATCCGAAGACGACATCATTCCCAAAGCGTAGATGACTTCTTCAGCAGCTTCACGTCCAAGGTAATCTTGAGCATCGTGACATCTGACGACGACAGCATCGCCAGACCGTAGACTACTTCGCCAGCAGCTTCACGTCCAAGGCAATCTTGAGCATCGTGACATCTGACGACAACCAGTAAGTGCAGTTCATTCCTTTTTTTCATTAGTCCTTTATTTCGTATCAGTGTCAAGTAGATTATCGTTGGATCATTAGTGAACAATGACTACTGAACAACTTTCTGGTTTAAATATTAAGCGGGGAGCGCTAAAACGCAAATTAACCATGGCTCAAAACTTAATAAACGATTTAAACTCATCTAAAGAAAGTACAGCTGGTTTGTCAAAAATACAAGAATGTTTAACTAAAGTCAGATCAATTTATGACGAATTTTTCGAAGTTCAAATTCAAATCGAGGAATTGGAAACGGTTTTAAAACAACCATCTACCGCAGATCAATGTATCATTTTTGACAAAGAATTTCATATCGTTGTCTGCGAATTAAAAGCATTGAAAGCCAAACATTCGGCCAAATCTGCAAAAAAATATGATATTTCTAGCGTTCAAAATAGCGCTGTTAATGTAAAACTGCCAGAATTAACGTTTAGAGTAGCAGCAATATCAACAAATAAAAACAAGAAGGCAAATTTTAATACCAATTCAAACAGATCAGTAATGTGCCCATATTGTTCCGATCCTCACTATTTATTTCATTGCGCAAAATTCATTAACCTAATGGTAACAGATAGGTTAACGATCGTGAGGTCCCAAAAACTATGTTCTAATTGTTTTCAGAATAGTCATAAAGTTGCGGAATGTAAATCATCGCATGTCTGTAAAATTTGTAAAGGACATCACAATACGTTGTTGCATGTAGACAATCCCGAGCCAAACGAAATACGAAATACTAGCAGTGACAATAATCAAGTCGAATCAGATCAATCCGTTGTTCTTAAAGCAAATTCTCAACAAGTTTATTTTAGTAAAGTACTTCCAACAGCCCAGGTACAAATTTATGATAAATCGGGAAATAAACATCAAGTGCGGCCACTGTTAGATAGCGGCTCCGAACTAAATTTTATTTCAGGGCGAATGCCAAAATTATTAAATCTTAAATCACAACCGAACGTTTTATCAATCGCTGGTGTCAACCGTTGTAATACTAATGCCTCACAATTAGCAAGTATCAAAATTCATTCTAATTACCGACATTATGATTTAAACCTTTCATGTGTTATTTTGCCACAAATCTCGGAATTTTTACCATCCAGGTCATTTTCAATCGCTAATTTAGAATTTCCGCACCACAACAGATCCCGCATTTCATGTCAAAGGGACGATAGATTTATTGTTAGGTGCTCAACCCTTCTTCGAAATTTTAGAGCCTAATCGGAGATGTTTGAATAAGGATTTTATTCTACAGGAAACTAAATTCGGTTGGGTAGTGGTTAATGCTCATGGAGATAATCCGGGGGTTGTAAAACAGGGTTCTTCTTATTATGTCCAACCCGTCCTAGAACAGATGGTTGGAAAGTTTTGGCAATTAGATGAATTTAAAACTTCCGTAAAACCTCAATCGGCCGACGAAATCCTGTGCGAAAAGAAATTTATGGAGGGTCATAAACGCTTAGAAATGGGAAGGTATTCGGTACCACTTCCGTTCAAGGCGGAAAACCCAAACGTAGGTACATCTCGGGAAGGGGCCATAAAACGTTTTAAACCTTTAGAATGCAAATTCCGAAAGGACGAGAATTTTAAGTTATCCTTTTCGGCAGTAATTACAAACTATTTACAACAAGGTCATGCCCATGCGGAACAAGTTCCTGAAGACGAAATTGATAATCCACGTAGTTATTATTTACCACACCACGGTGTTCTTAAAGAAAGTATCACGACACAATTACGTATTTTGTTTGACATATCATTTAGATCATGTAATTATAAAAGCCTAAATGACGAGTTATTAGTTGGTTCAAAAATCCACTCGTATTTATATCCAATGTTATTACGTGAAAATGTCACACATTCTAATGATCTTAAGGTATTAACAAATAATTACGAAGTTGAAGAACGACGTCAGGCCGTCTGTTCAAAGGCAGTAGTACACAATAAAGGTCAATCACCATCAGATTTATTATTAAGGTACTCATCATTTTCAAAATTAATTAACGTAGTAGCCTTTTGTTTACGATTTTACAACAGAGTCAGATATACACAAGGTGTAAATGGCGCACTAACTGTGAAGGAAATTGAAAATAGTCGCAACGTTATTATTAAAATAGTCCAACAGGAATCATTTCCTGAGGAATTCAAGTGTCTCATAAAAGGTAGTGCTTTCCAAAATCTAGTCCTTTAATCAAATTAAACCCCTTTCTAGACGATAATTTATTAATACCAGTGGGTGGTAGACTCGTCAATGCAAATGTTTTGTTTGATAAAAAATTTCCCTTGGTTATTCCAAAATTGCACCATATTACAAAATTAATTGTACTACAGACACACTTGCGTCAGTTACATGCTGGACCGCAAGCGACTTTAGCAGTTATTAGAGAAACATATTGGCCTATCGGCGGACGTGAAATAATTAGAAAGATTCTCCACGAATGTGTACTTTGCAGACGTTCGAAACCGATTTCCTACGAAGAAATAATGGGAAATTTACCCGAAGGTAGAGTAAATCTAGTACATACGACCATTTCTTAATTGTGGGGTCGATTACGCCGACCCAATTCTAATTCGAGAAGTGAGGGGTCGTGGAAAAAGGTCTATAAAGGCTTATATTTGTTTGTTTATTTGTTTTGCCACCAAGGCAATTCACCTAGTCACCGACTGTACTTCGTCAGCCTTTATTGGAACCTTCAAAAGATTTATTTATACCTCGAAGAGGGAAACCTTCAAATATTTACTCCGATAACGCATCAAATTTTAAGGGAGCCAATTGCGAATTACGAGTCATACATTTCGGTGTTATTAAATTTGATGCATTTTATCCCACCTCGCTCACCACACGTTGGTGGAATTTGGGAAGCAGGTATTAAGACCATAAAATATCATGTAAAACGAGTTATAGGGCAGTCATTGTTCACATATGAAGGAATGTATACCTATTTGACATTGATCGAGGCGTGTCTTAACTCTCAACCTATAACTCCCATTATCCTCAAATCCCGACGATCTATCCGTACTCACCCCTGGCCATTTTTTGATCGATACTGCACTTACGTCACTTGCCGAACCTGATGTGGGCGACATCGTCATCGTGCACGAGGATAACGTGCCCCCGTTGTGTTGGCGTCTCGGTCGGGTTGAAATCGTACATCCAGGTCGCGATGGTAAAATAAGGACTGTGTCAGTGAGAACCAGAAACGGGATAGTGCAAAAATCAGTGGGGAAATTGAGCCCATTACCAATGTAATGCGCAATTGGGATATACATGTGTATATATTTCATTTTATTATTGTACTCTTGTGTGGTAGCTCAGCGGTTTATTGATAATAAGCAAACAATACAAAGCAAAATATGGGTATGGGTTATCGAAGTGGTGGCAATTCTCGTCGGGGATGGTGGCGGCTCCTGGGACTCAGAGCGTCGTAGGGGATGACGGCGGCGATGTATGTAGCACAGGGCACCTGGACAGTGCGACCCTGGAGATGACGACGTCGGCGGTGCGGCACAGGAGACCTAGAGAATGCGACCCTGGAGATGACGACGTCGGCGATGCGGCACAGGGGACCTAGAGAGTGCGACCCTGGAGATGACGACGTCGGCGATACGGCACAGGGGACCTAGAGAGTGCGACCCTGGAGATGACGACGTCAGCGATACGGCACAGGGGACCTAGAGAGTGCGACCCTGGAGATGACGACGTCGGCGATGCGGCACAGGGGACCTAGACAGTGCGACCCTGGAGATGACGTCGTAGAAGCGGCGCAGGGGGACCGTAAAACAGTGCAGCCCTGGTGAAGATCTCGAAGCGGCGCAGGGGACCGTAAAACAGTGCAGCCCTGGTGAAGATCTCGAAGCAGCGCAGGGGACCGTAACACAGTGCAGCCCTGATAATAATATCGAAGCGGCGCAGGGGACCGTAACACAGTGCAGCCCTGGTGATCACCAGAAGGGGACCGAGACAGTGCAGCCCTTAAGGTGGAGATGGTGGAGTTCCATCTGCCTGGAAAGCGTCCGAGTTGCCCTTTTATAGGCAGGGTTGAAATGCGTGGGAGTACCTGCACAATGAAGTAACTTCAGGTGGGGTGCGTTCCAGTGGGGGTGAGCTTGGTGGGGTTGATATCGGCGCTGCCGAGGACAGCGCCCTCGAAAGGGTACTAGCGGAGCGCTTTGAAAGCTCCGCTACAATCTCCCCCTCAGGACCATTAAGGCGTCCCGACTATGGTCCTGAACTTGCTTTCTGAGGCGGCCTCGTTTTCGTAGCGGGGCCACTGGCGCTGGCGTAGGTGTAGTGCTCCCGTGAAACGGAGTATGGTAGAAACCTAGGGATGCTTGGGGATGCTGTGCGTCGTATACCTTATAACTCGTAGGTCCTTGTGGGCGCCTAATGTAAGGCCTCTCGCGTTTAGGAGCAATTTGGGCGCTGACTCCTTTTCGAGCGTTGATTCGTGGATGGGTTACTACCAGTACTTGATCTCGGGGTTGGTACTCGTGTGCGGGTCTTCGCGACTGGACGGTGTATTTCCTTTCGGCGCTCGTGAACAAGCGGCTACCGTATTTTACAGGGAGTTCGTTGGTGGCCTCCCCCTGGAGTGGAGCTACTCCTCGTACGTAGCTGCTATCTGTCGTTAGCACAAAGGGTTTCCTCATCTTCCTCCGCCCTTTACGCCGGGACTTCTTTTCTTTGCGGAAGGTCCGTCCTTTCTCTGCTGGAAGTTGCAAAGAGGAGAACGTGATGCGCGGAATTTCGGGGAATTTCTCATTCCCAATGGCGGAGTGGGCGTCAGCCCCCATGTATTCCATCGGGGAAAAATCTCGGGCTGGTGATGGTGCGGAGAAGGTCCGGATGTCATCGATTTGCATCGGTACGGTGAGTGGCGGTACCTGCATATCTCGGAGGATTTCTTGTGAGCGATCTATGGTGGGTTGCGCTCTAGAATTTATCCTCGCTGCACAGAGGTTTGTCCGTCGTGTCTCTGAATTGCAGTTTGGACAGTTCCGGCGGAAAACGCCGGGACGTTGGCATCCGTAACATCTAATGATCTCTTGGTCATTGGCCGGTCGTCGCTGATCCTGTGTTTTTCTCCTGCATTCTTGTGTCTCGTGGCCAAAGTTCTTACAGAAATCGCACCTGGGCCGTGGTCTTCGGTCGATTCTTGGGAATTCTTGCCGTCGGAATGTTTGGCCATTTTCTGGGGTTTCTGGTGCGTGGTTTCTAACTCTCGTTTCTCGCTCGTTCTCCTCAACGATTCGGGACTTATCGAGAAGTTCGGCGAAGGACCTGCAGTCGGACCTGGCGATTTTATCCCGAATATGGTATCTCAGCAGACCGTAGATTATGTCTAACTGCCATTCCTCGTCCAAGTCTCTCGTCATTTGTGCCAGTCGTTCTCGTTGGACGGTTATGAACTTATCGGTTGGCGTCTTTTCGTCCTGGGGATTATTAAAAATGTCCAAAAAAAGGCGATGGTTAGGTCGTCTGGGGGCAAAAGCTTCTCGTAGAAGTTCCGTCGCTTCTCTCCATGTGTGAATCTGATTTTTCACGCCATTCCACCATTGATTGGCTTCTCCAGTCAATAGTAGGGGTAAGCCGGCTATGGCGTCCTCGTCCGTGATATTTTCCATATCCTTGTATAAACTCGCAGCCGTAATAAATTCCGTTACAGCAGCGTGGGCGCGCTTTCCGTCAAAACGGGCCTGGCAGTGGGTAAAGTGGCGGTTCCTGACCACTTGCGGTTGTGGGACAACTTGTACCCTATCCAAGAGCTGCTGGAACTGCTCTGGTGTCATCTGTATAGCCGCCATTGTGGAGTTACGAGGACTTCTTCGGACTGGGAGTGATGCCGTTCTTTTTTTTTTTGCCGTGGAATCTTGCCTTCTTCGAGCCGCGACGTTGGTAGACAGTTTTGTGGTATTTTGCCTACCTCGAGCCCCACTAAGTTGGGCGATAGATTTGTAGAATGTTGCCTCCTTCGAGCCACTAAGTTGGGCGCCAGTTTGTGGTAGCTCAGCGGTTTATTGATAATAAGCAAACAATACAAAACAAAATATGGGTATGGGTTATCGAAGTGGTGGCAATTCTCGTCGGGGATGGTGGCGGCTCCTGGGACTCAGAGCGTCGTAGGGGATGACGGCGGCGATGTATGTAGCACAGGGCACCTGGACAGTGCGACCCTGGAGATGACGACGTCGGCGGTGCGGCACAGGAGACCTAGAGAATGCGACCCTGGAGATGACGACGTCGGCGATGCGGCACAGGGGACCTAGAGAGTGCGACCCTGGAGATGACGACGTCGGCGATACGGCACAGGGGACCTAGAGAGTGCGACCCTGGAGATGACGACGTCAGCGATACGGCACAGGGGACCTGGACAGTGCGACCCTGGAGATGACGACGTCGGCGATACGGCACAGGGGACCTAGAGAGTGCGACCCTGGAGATGACGACGTCGGCGATGCGGCACAGGGGACCTAGACAGTGCGACCCTGGAGATGACGTCGTAGAAGCGGCGCAGGGGGATCGTAAAACAGTGCAGCCCTGGTGAAGATCTCGAAGCGGCGCAGGGGACCGTAAAACAGTGCAGCCCTGGTGAAGATCTCGAAGCAGCGCAGGGGACCGTAACACAGTGCAGCCCTGGTAATAATATCGAAGCGGCGCAGGGGACCGTAACACAGTGCAGCCCTGGTGATCACCAGAAGGGGACCGAGACAGTGCAGCCCTTAAGGTGGAGTTCCATCTGCCTGGAAAGCGTCCGAGTTGCCCTTTTATAGGCAGGGTTGAGATGCGTGGGAGTACCTGCACAATGAAGTAACTTCAGGTGGGGTGCGTTCCAGTGGGGGTGAGCTTGGTGGGGTTGATATCGGCGCTGCCGAGGACAGCGCCCTCGAAAGGGTACTAGCGGAGCGCTTTGAAAGCTCCGCTACACTTGTTAATTTCAATTTAATTCCTGTTGTATGATCTTAGTTGATATGTATTCATTTAATTAGGCATTTTTTGTTTCTTTATTATTATGTATTATTTATCTCAAAAAGTAGGTCATCCTTGAAGTTAGTACTTCAACGAGGGGACTATGTTCAGTTTACCTGAACAGGGGTTTGGGCGTAGCCAATTTGTCCACCCTACTCCCACCCGTTTTAGGGTAGTTTACCTAATTTTATTATTTCATTCTCTCGGGGAGTCGTCGAGAAGTATCGAGAGGGTAAAGACGTGCCGACCCGAGAGCCCGGCAATTTATAATTTTGTGCGATTAAATAAACCGTGTAACTAAAAGGTGATTTTATTTCGCGCAAAACACGAACATACCACTGAAACAACTAATTACTCGGAGGAACCGAAAGAGGCGCTTTTTCAAACTATCTTCCCTCCTCTCATTCTGTCTCCATGAAATGGATGCAAGAATGGAAAAGATGGACGAAAAAATAGATAAACTGATTAGCATCACTGAAAAATTCCATATGAACGTGAAAGCAAACAAAGATGAAATAGCAGAAATTAAAGATAAAGTGAAGGACATGAAAACGTATTTGGAAGTTATGCAAAATCCTGTTGGATAGAACATGGTCCCACTGGGAGAAAAAGTAAAAGAAGTAGAGAAATCAGTGCAGGAATTTATAGAAGATCCAATGGAGAACAAAATGGAAGATCGACTGAAAACTATAACAGATCGAGTGGAGGACGAAGTAGATCGATTGATAACTATAGAAGATACAATGAGAGCAAAATGAAGAAGTTCCAAAAGATAAAAAATGCAGCAACTAGTTCATGTCATGTACTGTCGGCCCCAGAACGATTTAACCACCCACTTATGCTAGTCAGCACCTTGGTCATCGTACAAAAAGCAGTTTGAGGCAGCAGTAACTGTAAATCTTTGGGAAGAAAACTGAAAGCTATAGTCTTGGTAATAGTTTTGCGAGGCACAGCCCTTGAAATACTTCAAATTCTGTCCGAAGAAGAAACAAGCAAATATATTGCTTTAACTGCTGCTTTAGAACTTCGATTTGGGGATGAACATCTGAAACAGGTTTTTGCAAGCCACTTAAAGATCGCCGGGAGTCAGTAGCGGGTGATAGATAATCACTGAATTTAATCGTCACTTATTCCATAAATGCAATTAACGATTTATTAATCAAACGGCTAAGTAAATGAGAACGGGAATTAACAGCAGAGTGCAACGAAGCAGCGTTATTCTAATCTCAAATAAACGAAGTGCAGCCCGTAACTGCAATGAATTCCCATCCCGTACGAGCCGTACCGAGTTTGGCCTTGCCTAGCCCGACAGAAATCCGCTCTCTAAAGATAGCATACTACTACGCACCACCGACTATTCAAGAGAGGTTTGCGATAGTAACTTTTATCAACGGTATTCGGGACGTTGAAAATGTTAGAGGAAAGGCAGTGATTGTGGAATAGGGCGATAATGTAGAATATCACTATTTTGAAAAAATTGACAGCGATATCTGTGTTCTGCTGGCATAACTCAAACACCTTTTGGTGCATAATAATGCACAGCTGCAGTTACCTGCTTTAACTGTGAACATAACGTAAGAATTAATTTATTTGTATATTCTGCGCAGTAGAAAAGTTTTGGTAAGTTTCAATTTTACTTTATATTTTTCATATAAGTGTTATAAAAGTCATAGATATTGTCATACAGAATACGTCTCTAATCAACAGTTAAATGCTATCTCATTTAACATTTATTTATGCGGTATTACTATTATTTTTTAATAAAAATCGTTCGTAGGCTCGTTGCGTTAATGTGGAATACTGACTAGTACGGTAATGTGGACTATTCCACATTAACCGGTTTTAAGTTAATTCTAATATTACCTGTATTTTAAGGACTATGTCAGTAAAAAAAGAACAACTATGGTCCGAAAGCGATATGGAAAAAGCTGCCGTAGCTGTAAAAAGTAAAAAAATGGGCTATTTGCGGGCAGCCAAACATTTCAATGTGCCTAGAACGACTTTATATAGATATGTTAAAAAAAAACAAGGAAATTAAGAAAGAAAAATTAGGCAGGAAAGCTGTCCTACCTCCTGAACTAGAAGAAGAACTTGTTCAATATCTGTTGACTATGGAGTCGAAATTTTTTGGCCTAACGAGGAAAGATGTGCGTTCAGTTGCTTACCAGTTGACCAAAGTAAATAAAATTGAGAATCCATTTAACGCATTTTCAGCAACCGCCGGGAAAGATTGGTTACGACGATTCTTAAAAAGACATCAAAATTTAAGTATAAGAAAACCTACGGGTACTTCTATCTCCAGGTCACTTGGATTTAATAGAGAACAAGTGGATATATTTTTTAACGAATTAGAAAAGTTAATGGAACACTTTAATTTTTCAGCAAATAGAGTGTTTAATGTGGATGAGACTGGCCTTTGCATAGTGCAGTCTAAAACTGCTGAGATTATTGCATTGAAAGGAAAACGTCAGATAGGAGCAATAACATCTGCGGAAAGAGGCTCTTTGGTAACGGGCAGTTTTATGCATGAGTGCAGGTGGCGTGTTTATCCCACCCATGTTAATATTTCCGAGGAAAAATTCAAGTGAAATAATTCTCAAAAAGGGTGCTCCACCAGAAACGCTCTTTGCTTTTCACCCATCAGGATGGATCCAAACCCATCTTTTCACGGAACGGTTCCGTCATTTTGTCAAAAAAGTCCAACCCACTAAAGAAAATCCTGTGCTTCTAATACTGGATGGACATAACACACACACAAGAAACCTTGACGTGATTGTAGAAACAACTTTGTCTCGATTTTATGTCTACCACCACACACATCCCACAAAATGCAACCCTTGGACAAAACGGTCATGGGAGCTTTAAAAACCTACTATTCTGAAGAAATAAGATGTTTTATGCGTTTACATCAACGCGCAGTCACACATTTCGATATATCTGAACTTTTTGGAAAAGCTTACCTAAAAGTTCAATCAGGCGAAAGGGCTGTGAAGGGGTTTAGAATGACTGGGATTTATCCCTGTCGTAGAGATGTGTTCACAGAAGAAGATTTTATTGCAGCTTCTCAGGTTTTAAACACTGTGGAACACCAAGATAAGAAAAACGCTGTAAATGAAGAAATTTCCGCTCAAAATCAGGTAAAAATGGTAGTTTTACCTGAGGACATCGTACCCATTCCTCTGTTAAAGAAAACACAAGGTACTCGTGGGCGAAAGAGTGGAAAAGCAAAATTAATTACTTCAACACCGAACAAGGAGGAGCTCGAAGAATCGACGAACCAAAAGGAAAAAAGGGATAGCGTTAAAAAGAGAATTTTTATAGAACCTGGACCAATCAAAATTTCTTTAAAAACATCAACGAAGAATAAAAGAAAAAGTAAACCACGAGGAGCTCCACCTAGCAGAAGTGCTAACTGCAGCAGCAGCAGCAGCAACGTTTCGTTCCACGATTCTTCAGATGAAGAAATGTCTATCCGTGAAGATCCAGACGAAAATGTAGAATGCATTTTTTGTAAGCAAAAGTTTTTGGATAGCCAGAAAGGTGAAATGTGGGTCGAGTGCGTCGTGTGTGGCATGTGGGCGCACGAAGAGTGTGGTGGCGCAGAAAAAGACGTTTATATTTGTGACTTTTGTCAGTAACTTTGTTGCAAAAATTATGTTTATTAATTAGAAAAAAATGTTTATTTTATTTTTATTATATTTTAAAATTTTCTATTATTTTTTAATAAAACAATCCAAATATTGCATCATTTCCATGTACCTTTGTATGCTAATGTGAGATTTTTGGCGGTATTCCACAATAGCCACCCATTTTCTCGACCCCCGAAAATTACATAAAAGTACAAAATTTGTTATATATCGAACAAAAATCCATAATTGAAAAAAATCTTCTGAGAGGTTTATAGAATAATAATTAGCCTATCATTTGACATAGTTACATGATTTTTTGTTGAAACATTTTTTTTCTGCAAGCAAGAACAAAAAGGGTATTATTCCACAATCACCGCCTCTCCTCTACAAGTATTTAGGTGCCAGACATCAGCTGAGGCTCCCATACACGCTTTGGAAATGGAGGCTGCTTTCAGTAACACAAGAAAATGCTATAGCAGAACCAAAGAATAAAGAAAACAACAAGGTAGAAAATCTATCGGAAAAATTGTTACAGCAAGTAGATGGCCTATCTCGAAGACGAGAGAATGGTGTGTCTCGTAAAAAAGGCGTAGAATCCTATAGGTGTGGTCACCAGGGACATCTCAAACGTGATTGTCGTGCTCGTTCACTAGTTTCAGGAAGAAGCACACAACAGAGATCTCACCGAGATGTAAAAAATGAAAATAAGAAGTTTCCCCAGAGGTGGTAGTTCAACTATACCGGAGGAGATTAATGGAACACCAGTAGCAATCACTATCGAAACGAGGTATCAATTGCACGTAGATGACTCATGAGAGCTGAAGATATATAAAATATACCCG